ATATATATATATATTTTGATGAACTGGCACAATAGTATATATATATACCTATATAATGAGCTGGTACCACATATTTTATTATTTGTGTATATTACAAATATTGTATAGTGAAACTGAATAAACAATAAAGATTGACCATTCCCAAGTTTGGTCTAGATACCTTGACTATGAATGAAGGACCTTCACTGTGATAAAATGTTATGTTTTAACACTTTGAAACACGGGACACCCATTGCTGTTACCTACACTCTGTCTAGATACCTGCTAAATTAATTAATGATAAGAATTTACTGTTATTAGAACTCTATCTAGTATTTTCAGATTTCTGTCTAGGTACCATGAAATCATTGAAGGTTAAAATTTAACTCAATCAAGTTCTGTATACATAGATACTTTCATAATAGATAAAATATTACAATTTTCAACCAAGCTATGTTTAGATACCTTAAATTAATGAAGGATACAAATTTGGTATTGAACAGATAAGTTAGAAAAATTGCAACATTAAATTTTACAAGAAATATGTTTGTGTGTGGATTTGATTCAACAGATTGAAGAAAAGAAACTGGACATCATTTGAAAGTGAACAAGAACACTTTTTTTAATGACAAGACGAAAAACACTCACTAACTAAGTGGAATAAAACACAGTTGCACACAATAATCTTTTTTTTGATAGCTAACTGAGAGAATCAACCTTGTTGTACAGAAAGTTGGATATGGTTCATTTTCCCAGAGTGCATTATCACTCACATCACTGGTCTCCTCCATTAAGGGGAGATGGAGTCTCTGGTACTTCTACATCTTCACATGACTGGTAAGACCAGAAAATTCCCTTAGGATAAGCCTAAAGGATTTCTCTAACAATGCGAGGCATTAAAAGACCTAAAAATGCTAAACTGAGTGACCACAAAGGCTATACATAAACTAAAAGATAAAGAATCAACTGCTACCTTTCAGATATCACATCTCTCTTTCCCATTTTCCTCAGCCCATCTCTATCTGATAAAATAAAACAAAACCAGTGAGCCAACTGTGAGTCTGGTAAGTTACCCACATTTTGCAGTGCAGCACTTAAACAATGAGGTGTGTAAACATAAATCTTTAAGAAAGAAGTATATGTACATACAGAATACAAAAATGATCAGAAAACACAAACCACCATTGCAGGAAAGTATCTTGTAAATTCTGAAGTTTTCTGTACATATTTTGTTGACCACATAAAGAAAAATACTTTTGATTTCATACAAAATGTTTACATCATGAAAATATTTCGTTTCTTACACTTTATACATTTCAAGTATGTGTTAAAAATATTAAATACGTTGACTAAGATGATAATATTCATTTTATGAGAGAAATAGCCAAAATAATGTGATGTGCTTTCACACTAATTCAAGCCTATGTTCATCAGCCAGAACTTATCATTTAGCCAGCCAGAGTTAAGGCTTCATATTGGAAAGTTGAACAGGCATTCTGATGGTTGCTGTATAAATCTGGAACTTGGCTAATATCTGTGCATCTGAAGCATCTTTTTGTCCTTCCTCCCCAGACTGCCAACTGTGGAGGTTTTAGCTCCTACTGTGGCACAACCATTATGAGAGTCTTGGATAGTTGTGGCAGGGGAGTTTTGGATTGAGCTTGAGGTTTTCAAGTTGTGGCACTATAAAGGGCATCCTGGCTTAAATGGAACAACCACTGTAGCTACAACTGTGTTACTTCTTTCCCTTTTTTTTTTTGACCAGGTTGACATGACTATCTCAAATGTAGCTGCTACAGAAATAATTCCCCGTAGATTCATTTTGTAGACACTCCATGAACGTATGAATGAGGATATCCTCACAATCTTCAGTCTCCATGGTGTTATGTGCATTTCTGTTTAGGAGGTGCAGCTCATCTGGCCAAGTTCTTTTGGAGTCCTTTCCCAATAGATAACTACCAGTACAATTCACCTATGTCTGCATTCTAGTCATTGAGCTACTCCTCATCCAAATGCCCATTCCATCAATTGCTGTACCACTTATGCTTAGAATAGGCATGGCACTGTTTTTTTTGTGAATCTAACAATTCCAGACAGTTACATGCCTGCAACACTTAAGAAAGTCAGTAGCATTATATTTTTCATTTCTCTGCCAATGAAGTATGGTAGTGAAAACGTGATTTCCCTAGGCATGTCACCTGGTGCATATCTGAGACATTCGTGATGTCAGAGGAACTTGTGCATGTTAGTGCCTAAATGTTGCAAAGTTTCAAGGAATATAAGGATTCCTACTGAAGGAAACAATATGTCACAGTCGAAATCTTATTATTCTGCTCTACTCGACCTTTAGCTCTCAAGTGTTTCAGCAGCTCACCTTTCCTCCCTTAGAGGCTTTTTCTTACACCATAGTGCTTAGTGTCTTTCCTAGTGATGAGACAGATCTGACTGGTGGAATTCATCCTTCAGTGGCACCTCCCGGCCACATGTGACAATAACCAGTGGTGGAGCTCAGATCCACTGACTGTTGATGATTTGTAGAGGCTTTCCCCACATGATCTCAAAGCTTTCATCATAATAAGCTCCAATCATTTGGATTTCCTGCATGCTGAGGAAGAATTTGTTCAGCAGCTACCAAACTCTTCCCTGAATCTGTGGCTAGATTGAGATTACAGCAATAGGTCGTTATCCAGGAGAGGATGTTTGCACCTATAATATACTACTTCCCGAGATCATGGTGTTCTTTTAATGACCACTCCTCATATTAACCATAAGCCCTCTTCTAGAAAATGCCAATTTTAGGTTATCCTGAAGTTCTAATATAAGTACAATGAGAGTTAACAGAGGTATAGAAAAATACGTTCATCGAAATTCAGAAACTACAGAGAAACAAAATCTTACAATTATGGCAGAATATTTTTCCTACTAACCTACTGTATGACATTCAACAAGTAAATTGATTAGGTCACGACAGCTGGAGGTTTGACAAGAAATGTTTGCAATGGATATCTGAATCTAGCTTGACTGAATCAAGGTACAATTCAAAGATGAAAACCTTTGACAATGAGTGAATGGCACAAAAGTAAGGTCAACTTATTTCAAAACTAGTTGTCTGTGCACTTTAAAAAAACACATGCACTAACAACTTAGGTTTGAAAATTTGAAACAACTAAATTATTACCTTTCTAATCAAAAGAGAAGGAAACACTTGATATTTTTCAAATATGTTACCAGTGTTTTTGTCAAGATACAATGACATTAATATTAGGCCCATTATATTTTTAAACACTACATTCTTTATCTAATCCTTTAGTGATAGGGAATGAAGAATGAAAATTAATTGTTACCACAATTCTTTCACGATACTTGAAAACTCAACCAAGGATAAACACTTGTGTAAGTTCCATCTAGATATAGTGGAACTTAATGAAGTATAGACAACTAGTTTTGTCCTGTCTAGATACAATTAAATTGAATGAAAGACACAAATATAATGTTGTGGTATTCAGGTACATGAAGACAAGGTGGATAGCAAAGAAAATAAATGTATAAATAAATAATCTCTCTATTCATAAAAAGAGGCAAAAATTATGAAATTCTTTAAAATCAGACCAGGGTCCCAGTGGAGTATTGCACAATCCTTAGATTACTTGTATCAATGATAGTTCCAAAACATATTCAAGGGAGAAAGCCCCCAACTTATAACAACTTGTACAAGTCTCTGTACTACCCCTTGAAATGAGTATGACCATACTTCATTGGGGCTGATACAGAAACAGGACTGAGCTTTTGAAACAAGCACTGTATTATGCAACCTCTGTCTAGTGTAGAGGATGAATGTGCAAGTTTTTAGTCTTTGCACATCCAGTTTACAAGAATGTTACTAGATGCCAAGTACCAGCACAAGTATGTAGAAAAATTACAAAATATACCCAAAGGGTAAAATATGAGGATATTTCTGTTGTATTACACGTATGTCATGCAGGCATACTGTCTTCTACCACCTAACGTGGTATGATTTTTTTTAAAGTTATTGATTATTTAGTTCCCCACAGTCACAGCAGCAACAAGGTGTTTAGAATTATCTTGTAGTGCATCGACAAATTTTTTTTTACTGCATAGTATTTCTTTACTATCCACACTCCCCAAGATGTTAAAGTGTTTTGAACTGACATTTGTGTCACAGTCCTGTAAACAGTGGTGAAGGATGGACAACTGATTATATGCTGTGTTTTGTGTGTGTGCTCTTTAACAAGTGAGCTCAAACAATGTATTGTAGAGCCCATGTGGGAATACTGTCTTTGTCATATATAAATTTACATGTTCAGTTCAGTCCTAGTTTATATGAAGAAAAAGACGTTTTCTTTCTGACACTCCAGTTTAGTATCGGAGCATTCAATTCCATAAGAAAGGAAATGTGAAGACCAAGAACACTGACCTGTAAAGAAGGACTAACTGTTGTTAGTGGGTACGCATATGTGAAGATTTCTTCTCTATTTTTGTTGTTTGAATAAGGATTTTGTACATTCATTTAAGGTTTGTCCAACCTGTATATTTTTACATAAGGGAAAGAAACACTCATTCTAAATACCTCAGTCACAAGAAATTCCATTAATTTTCCTGGATAATTCTAACTCTTGTGAGGCAATCAGTTTTTAACTGAAACTACCACATATGAATTAATATATAGTAACTTTTTCCATTTTAACTAGGAGTTAAAATGTACAAAGTGTCACCAGGAGAGGTTTTGTTTTACTAGGTGAACAACTGTTTTGTTATACATGTATTATTATTATAAAGTTATTCTTCACTTTAACTAGTGTCGCCAGGATAAGTTTTGTTTCATTAGGTAAACAACTGTTGTGTTACACAAGTATTATTATAATAAATTCGTTCTTTTTTCAATGTAACTAATATCACCAGGACAGGTTTTATTTCATTAGCTTTTTTTTGTTGCTTTATCTTAAAGACTTATTATATGTCATCATACAGATGTATTTTTTGTAGAAGAGAACTGGTTAATCTTAACAAGTTAAGAAAGTTGCAAGTTTTATTGGGGTTTAAACACACACACATATATATATACATGTAACTATATACAAATACATTTATAGCTCTGTAGCTGTATTAGAATGTTCAAATGAACTTTGACAGACTAGCATTATATGATTGTATATTAGATAAAACCACAAGAAATCACAAAGCAGATTTATGTGTTAATAGAACTGTAATAAGGACAAATACATTCATAGTAAAGAAACTACTAAAAGATTTAACTTTAGGCACAGTTCAACATATTGTTTGCAATTTATTGAGGAAATGAAAAAACAACAACAAAACTGAGCCCCATTCTACAAACTTCTTGCAAGAATACAATCTAATGTATATTAATCACTTCTTTTCCTCGAGTTTCAAGTAAACTCATAAAATTCTGTTTTGTGTTCATAAACTATACTGATCTACAAAAATATTTACAAAGTAATAAAAAAGACCTTATTCTTGCATAAACATAAATATCAGACTTGTATATTGCAAACACACACATTTTATATACTTAAATAATATAGATAACAGCTACTGGTTCAGTATGAAAATTTTTACCATGTTGAGATCTTTTGAAGTTACTATTAAAAATATGCCATATTTCTCTCTATCTAATTATTTTCTAGAAACAGGAATCATAGATTCCATTTTTTCTAAATGTTTTGTTTTAAATACACTGCAATTACAAGGAGAAAAAAATTCTAGTTAACATTAACAGGAGGAGGTTGATCTGGTATCATGGATGAAAAGAATGTTGAGACGAATGTCACAGCTGTAGCTAATGGAGAATATAACTGCTGGTTTGACTCCCAGTCTTGCTCTGTAGTGACCTAGACAGAAATATTAAGCAACATTTCTTTATAATGTCACATCAACTGTTACAGAATCCAATAATTTATTATTCTAAACTGTGCTTCAAGAAGAGTTTTTATTATACTTTCAATATTCTGAAGATATTTGTAACTAACCTCCTTGTATCTTATTTTTTAAACCATTAAACACTTTACATTTTATTCAAAATTTGAAAACAAATAAATATTTCATGTGGCCAGACGACTTCGAAACAGTATTTTAAAAATAATAAAATACTAAAGATTTCACACCTGTTTCTAACACGTTAAAATAAAAGAATGCTCATTATACACCTCAAAGTCATTACATGTTTTAAAACTGTATGAAAAACGTACTTGCTTTTGTTCTTTAATACATGATGAAAACAAATCATCAGAATTATATCACATTTATCATTAGTCATTTTGTCTATTCAGGCTTATTTTTTCAAACAATTATTTCACTTTTTTGTGTCAGTTAATTAAATCTCAAGTAACAATAACATTATGTGGTTTTATTTACCAATACTTTCAACATGCACAGACTACACTAAGTAAGATAACCAATGAAAATGTTTTATAAAATAAAGATATTATTTGATTAGAAAATATAAACCAGTACAAGAAGTTGTATCACCTGTGTCTTTACGTTAATGCACACGTAGGTGCCTGGAGGAATCTCATTTCTAAGTCATTGTAATGCATATATTAGGGTAAGGTTTCATCCTTGTCCACTTTTTTTAATTTTTTTTTAAGAGTTCAAAGTTGTTTTGAAAATTCTGAAAGGAATGTCTGTTTAATACTTAAGTGAATTGTTACAATGTTATTTTGTTTTTCATCTATTTCATTCTAAAAAAAACTTGCACACGAAACCTATATGACTGTGGCTTAATTTAACAAATATTTCTGGAATAAAGGAGACAGAGTATGTAATGAAATAGTATACAATGTTAAAATAATGATGGACAGAGATAGTATATTAACCTATGTGGTTATCTCAATGTCGAACCCTTCTTCCAAGCTGTTTCATGGAAAGTTTCTCCTATGTTAACACATTCAAAGGGATTTAAAATGCTACAATACTAATTTGCAAAAAGCAGGGGCATCTTTGAAACAATGTAAAAGATTGCAATATAATTATCATCACTAAACAGAAACTATCAATATAAAAGCTTCAGTTATTAGTTACAATGGGATCCTTGGCAAGTTGTAAACAACTTTCTGTAGAGATTGTAAATTACAATTTCATTTCCTTAGCTATATCATAAAAAAATGTTTTTAGGAAATATACGAAACAAGTTTCTGTCTTTGAGGCTAACAGGTGCTATATAGTGACTAAAGTAAAATGTATAATTCTTGACTACTAATTAAAACTCCTTGATGGAAAATGAACAAAATGTTCTGATCTATAGCTTTCTTCTGCACTGACGAATCTTATCTATGCGGATGGGAATTAACAGTAATTTTACATAGTAGCAGTGGTTTACACAAAACAGTCGATGGGACAATCTGTATAAAATTTGAAACCTGTGTTTTGATGATGTTTTTTGATACAACAAGGGAACAAACTGTTTGCACACATATAACCAAATATTACAAGAAAAGAGATATGACAAATACATTTCATTGTCTTACCTCTTCACGTTCATTCTGTACAGATGATATGTCACGAGGTGCTTGTCGTTCAACATTTTCTTCGTCATCTGGGAGTCCAGCTCCTGGATCAACATTAACTTCTCTAGGATGATTGACTGGTCTTCTCTGGCCAAACCACCCTCTCTTGTACCTGTGAGTAGCAACAAACTTATATGATTTTCAAGATCCATTTCAAATCTTGAAAGCTAGGTAGACAAATTGCAAGGTAAAAATAACATCTCAAACTGTAACTAGCAATTCTAATAACGTTAAAGCTTCTAAAACTGTATTCTTTATTAATATGACTGCAGAAATGTTTTGTGGCATATACAATATATTCTTGTTTCCACTAAAGCCATTAAACTCGTATTTCCCTTGAAGTCTATTGATTTACCCATAAAGAAAAACAAACAAAATTATTTCAATGAAACTTCTTAACATCATACTTAAATTTTCTATGGGCAATCAGTCTGAGTTCAAAAGATTCTGGATAACTATTTAAAAAACATTAAAACCTGCTTCTAAACTTACTGCATTGTAAATATTTACTCTTTACAGTTTATAAAACTGCATTTGTATTTAATAAATGCACAATATAAATGTATAGCCAATTATACATTTAATAAAAACTGTTACCTCATAGTAAGTCTAGATCTAATAAAAATAATAAGCTGACGACACTGACGTTTCAACATGCACATTAAGTTATTTGTATAAAATTAAAAGCTTAAAAACTACATGTTTTCAGTGGAACATACTCCACTATCTTCAAGAGACGAAGAAGAGAAAAAAAAATATATACCCTGTAAATGTACATGTAAATCTTGTACAGTGGTGCCATTTAAAAATTTACTTCTGTGACACCAGGACCTAAATTCTTATTTAAAATCATTTTGTTTTTAACCACTTCTAATGAATCTTTTATATTTAATTCATTCCTTAACTGCTTCTCGGGCTACTTTTCATGGTTAGGATACTTAATTGATTAGGATTATACACAAGAATATCAATAAAAGCAAGGGTAACCAACTGATACATCAATGCATTATGATCGTTAGTATTTTCTGATATTATATACATCTATTTAGATCAGTAGATTCACTCTGACAAAACTTGATGTTTTTTTTTGGTTTTGACATGCCATTTAGTAATTTATGCTCAGTTCATAGAGAGCTCAATCCACATACTGCCTAAATTCACTTTAACTCTTTCATGCCTGGATGGGTGCATCCTGCCCCAAGAACAAAATTGTACCATTGAATTAAACAAAATTATAGAAAATAAAAACTTTTTTTTTTATTCTCACATACATTGAGAAAAAAACTTCAGAGTTCAACTATATTTGGTAAACAAGTTTTATTTACTTGATACATAGAGAAATAATAAAGTCAGCATGCTCCAATCAAAAACATTAGTGTCCGTGAATTTCCTGATTTTTTTGAAGCATAATACAGCATTCATAGTCTCTTTGTGCAAAAGTCAAAAGAGTTTTGAGCAAGACATCACTAACTTGAACCTTGAACTTCAATATGAGTGTAGTCTTGCTTGTTTTAGCCAATAACTGTTTCTCAACCTTAGTTGCCATGGTGTGAGGTAATTACCTTACCTCAGCTTTGACAAATAATCAGCTAGTGACTGAAACACATAATGAATGTTATCTCTTAAAGTTTTAAGCTTACAAGTATCACATATAAAAATAAGATTATTTGCAGAAGCTAAACAATCTGTGTAAAATTCTTCTGGTTTTTCAAACTGTTTTATCCAGCAGTTGTTTTTTGCAATTCTATAAAACAAACCATAGAACAGGTGCATCAAATCAACATACTTGGGCATTTTAGAATTAAATTAGCTATCACATTTACTAAGTTACGTTTTAGTTCTTATCTATGCAAATACCTTGCTTTGATCAGAAGTTGCTGATAACTGCATAGAAAGTTTTTCTCTTTAAAACAAGTGGAATTTGTTTGCACAAGAATGATTAAACAGATTGTAGAAAAAGTTTTTTTACAATGAAAAGAAACTCATACTTACAAAAACATTATTACTCCAAGCAAAGCTATAATAAAGAATCGCTCAACAGAAGAATAGAAGAACACAAAACTGAAGAGTATAAAAACACGGCTAAAAATGTAAAAGTAATCCAGCCAGTCCCTATGAGCCAACTCTTCTTCTTCTTGTTCTTCGAAAACCTGCCTAGCCTGAGCATTCATTCCCATGTTTTCAGCAAGAGGCAATGGTTGGCCAGTGTTCTGTTCAGTCATTCCCAGATCTACTGGGGCTTCATGAAAGGAAGAGGACCATTGCGACTCAGTCCTTGAACTTGCATGAACACTAAATTGAAATTAGTACAAATTCTTGGTCATATATAAGAAAAATAAATTTAGACATTTTTTTTCACATAACTTCTTTAGCATCCTGTTTTTGTCAAATGCAAAAAAGAACTATATAATTATTAAATTTTATATCTACTTCCTATACAAACTACCATAATACATCAGGTGTAGCACACAAGAAGTATAGGATAAGATCAAAGTAAAATTATTTCTGACAGATAACGAGTTTTACTTTCATGTCAAATTGGTGTAGTAAGAATATTTCCATGCCTTTCATGAAATCCATACTGAGAAACATTATCAAAAACTGGACGTTAATATTTCCATAAATTAATTTTTAGGTTTGACATTATAATAAGGAAACAACACACAATTCTATGGTACTTTTTAATTTGAAGAACTGAATAAAATAACTGATAACTATGAAGGTATATACAAGTATGCAATTATAAAATAAAATACAAATGAAGATGAAATGATATTATGCAATGAACTAAATGATACAAGACAACTTTTATATTCAGAATATTTAATTTTCATACATTCTTGGTAATAAACTTTTGTCAAAGTTAAACAAAATTCAGAAACAATGTTTTTTTTTGTTTACATTTGAACAAAAATTTAGAGATATGCATATATAAAATAATACAAATTTTGTAACAAAAACAACCATTATATTGTGATGCATGAAGATTATTTTAGTTAAAAGCTTGGAAAGCAAGAATGCAACAAGTAAAATATAAAGTAATGAATAAAATGATATTTTCACAATTGTATTTTTAGAATAAAATACTAATTTATGTATTAATTGTATCTTCTAAAAAAATAAGAAAGAACATAACTAAAATGATCATATTAAGATGCTTTATATTGGTACTAGTTGTTTTTTATTCAATTAAAATAAAAAATAATATATTAAGTGGCTGGGCTTACAAGCTAGTTTAACTTTGTTTACAGAATGTCAAAACCTACTGTAACATGCAAAACCTTTCAAAAAAATTTTGTAATGGAGAAAAAGAAAAATAAACCAAACAAACTTGATTTCGTAATCTTATTTCATATCAATGTGTCTGAACTTAACTAAAAATTAATAAGTAGCAAACATACTTTTGAAAGTACTGGGCCATGTATTGAGCATAAAGGTTATGCATGGTGGTGAAATGCTGGTATGCCTGTTCTGGACTCATGGGAACTGACTGGAAAGTGGTGGGGGAACTGTACACACTGAAAATAGAACAAGGATATAAGTCAGCTACACCTAAACTTTAACTCTGAATAATATTTGATTTAATTTATCTGCACATTATAGTCTGGTAGTACTTTGTAGATGATTAGTTTGAGAACTGTAAGGTTACCAACCTGTTAGAAACATATGGCATGAATCTTTGGTGAAGTCCATCAGCCCATGGTAAATGATTCAGACCACCTATGTTCAAATTGCCAGATGGAGATGAACTATTAGATATAGGCTGAGAGGATGTTGTAGTCTATAGCAGAAAAGTATGATTCAATAAATATTAATAGTATTGAAACCCTAAATAACTAGGTTTTTAAATAAATATATATGTTTGGTCCAACAATTTGTATTTCTAGAAAGTAGTAAACAAATCTAGAGAAAACAGGAGTAATTAATATTTGTCATAAAATACAACACATTCTGCAGAATAAATATTATTATTGAATAAAAATATAAATAAATGGTTAAACTCACTAAGAGAAAATGAATTATGCAACCAATGTTTTATACAAATAACCATTCAATTCATAAAAAAGTAGGGTTATAAATGGCTCTTTTTAATCTTTATATATTAACATACCTTTTTATTTGTTTCCATTTAGGTCTTAATGAAGGATGTTTGGCTGAAACCATACATTATTCTTCCTTAGCAATGTTAATGCTTTATTTGCATTTTCAAATTTTATCACATTATATTATTAATATTCATTGGCTTATGTCGAAGGTTATGGATTCAGTGGGTGTAAGACAAAGATAATGAATTCTTTTCAGTCATTTTTTTAGATACCCACAGTTTATAATATTTTATTTACATCAAATTATATATAATTAGTTTCTTCTGAATGTTATCTTGCTACATTAACCATGAGTTAATACATCAGATCATTGATTAACAATTAGAGTAGTACTTTAAGCAAAAAACAATGTTAGTCAATAGCTGTTTGATCATTCCAGTGAAATATGTGGACAGTAATTAACGTATTTACCTTTTCAACCCTAGAATTACTAATGGTGTCTATATGGATCCCCCCCCAGCTTTTTAACGATACATTTTTCTAAACTATTTAATTGTTTATGGATTCATGACTTTGTTGGTTACAGAGTCCCTAATAGTTATGAGTCACACCAAAATACCATCAATATTGTTATGAATCCCACTAATTACTATTGGGGTTTAGTTTGCGTTTCACCTAAATAGATGAGTGACTTCAACCTCTCATTTTAATCAGTTCTTTACACCGTGGATTGTAATATGCAAAAACAAAATTACTCAATATATTTGATGCAGTATATTGATTCTACCAGTAGTAAATGATACTAAAACAACTAGTAATTGGAGGGCTAATATTTTATTAAATGTTCTTATTTTTAAATAAATTTGAAACTGTAAAAGTGTAATTTTATTACAAACATCTCTATGCTAGAAAAATACACATCTATGTGTACAATATATTGCTGATTATATAGATTCTCATGGATGATAAACAATTTCTCATGAACTCACAAACTGTGGTCACTATGTCTAGAGTTATGTCTAATAAATATAGTAAGTGAACAGCCTCTGTTGGAGAAATATATATGTAATAAAGTGTGTTTGTAAATTCACATGATTAACACCCAACACAAAAAATGAGCTTAAACTTTCAGCTTAACAATATCACATTTATTTTAATGTTTTTTCAGTTACTTTTTAAAGTTAACAACCAATAATTAGTTTAATTCACAATGATACTACACACACACACACAGACACAAAGTGTGTGACTTCTTAAATAGCAATATAATTTTATCATTTATAAACTATTATATTCATGAGACTTCTGAATACCTACTGAATACATGTAACATCATGATTGTTTGTTTGTTTCAGCATTATTTACCTGAAATACTCTAGCAAGTTTTAACATTCATCACTGAACTAATAATATTTATGTAGGTATGGTATACTGAAGAAAGAAACCCCTTTATGTGATCTCCACTTACAGCCATAACTGAAAAAGCTAAAATCATCTGAAAGCTGACTGGATGTGTTTCTAGAAAACATCTATAATAATCAGTAAGAAACAACAAATTACCATTTTTGGGGGGGCTTGTGAAATCACCACATCCTTTTGTGAACAAATTAAATGGATCACATGAGTTTGGGCATCCTGTAAAAGGGTGAAAAAACATGTTATCACAACAAACTGACATACATGGTTTGTTAATACTGACAGATATATACCATGTAACTGAACATAATTATGAAAAATGTTTGAAAGAGTTTATGTACTAAGTAATAGTAAAAAAATTTAAATTTGGTAATTGTCAAAAATTGATTTCATTACATAATTTAGGAAAACAAAGTCAATAAACTTGTATTTCAGTTACAAAAGTTAATAAAACTTAATGGACATTAGAAAATTGATTGGTACTCTTTTTACTTCTAAATATGTATGTATGTGCAGATAACAACATTTTAAGGTATTCCATTGAAAATGAAAAGTACATACAAATTCTAGGTTTTTTATATAATGCACTTCTGTTTTTGCTGAATGTGGCATTAACAATTTTTGTTATCAAAATTAACAACCTGAAGTAGTTGAGTTTGAAAACATCCTTTCAAAAATCACAAAATTTATATTTTTTAATCACAGCTATTACTTCTATGTGTATTTTGGTAGGGTTTAAAAAATACTATTTTCACCACAATACATAGCAAACTAATTTATAATTTATATTTTTGCTATAAATAAATCAAAATTAGTAATATATGAATAACAAGGCTTTATGTAGTGCACTTAAGCATCCTTATAAGTACTTTCTCCAAAGCAGATTTCAATCAGTTAAAAAATTTCTAAAAGCTGCAAGTGTGGGTTAGAGACAAAATAGCAATATAAACTGGTTTCTTCAGTAATCAAACATAATGAAACACAGTCAGTACATCATATGTACATGTTCTTCATGTAACTAAATTCAAATTCATATTTATAAACAGCATGAAGATATAACTTTAAACTCTATAACATAAATCTTGCTTTTCTACATATCAAAGTTGGTTAAACTTAGTGAAACTATAGAACATAAAGCTACCATAAAAACTTTTGCTTTACTAGAGGGAAAAAGAAATTGCTAATAAAAATCAGCTGAAGCCAACAATTTGTTGACTAAGAAACCTTAAAAAGATCAGGAAGTAGGTACTCTGATGAATAAATAAACAAAGAACAGAGAAATAAATACCATGATACATGTAGAGACAACCTAGCCCAGGATCAAATAAAGACGTATATAATCAATATCATGATATAGGTAGAAGACAAACTAGACCAGGTTCAAAATAAAAATATATATATATATATGTTCTAAACAAACATATTTTTGAAAACTATTGCAGCTTTTTTAAAAATTTTAATTACATTCTTAAGATCCTTAAGAAATACATTATTTCAGTAGTTTTTTTCTTAGTTATTATACATAATAGATTTTAGGTATAAAATAGCTTATACATATGTTTTGTCTATCAAATACAGAAATTTTTCTTATAAGGGGTACTATTCATACACCTAGAAACTCTGAATCTGGCATGCTATTATATGGTAAAAAACAACAACAAATTTAAGTATTCCAAAAGGTGTAATTTAAAGAAAAAACTTTACTTACAGGTCTCAAGATATCCTTTACACTCAAATGATCTTGAAGTAGATGACCAAAATAAATCAGTCTTTGGTCTTGGATTTTCTGGAAGAACAAATTGAAATAAGAGTCTTAATAGTAAATCTCTTTATCAAAAAATATGATTTATTATACTTGTAATTCTATCACAGCCTTTCTGGATTCAGGTCTGAAAGGGTGTCATGCACAAGTGATGAATTGCTCATGTCAACATTTTTCAACAGCAAGTAAACAAGTTAACCAAAAAAATAAGCTTAATGAAACAATTTGTACAAGAAGGCTGTATCTTGTTCCTTCCAACCATAATTATGGATCACTGTCTGCTTCTTTTTGTTAATACAGTATTTTTAAATGTGATGCCAAAAAAATGCAGTTAAAAAAGTTTTTATTTACCAGTAAGAATACAGATAAATGATTTTTTTTGCATGTTACTCTTGTTCCATTGAAATTTCAAATTACAGACACACAAAAATAATTCTAAATTTATTTTAGTCAGATATTTGTCAGTACCCAGGAGGTTTTTTCAATACCAGAACACATCAGCTGGACTAATTACTGGACAAATTCAAAGGATCATTGAAAAAAAAACCAAACACATCCAAAGTCTAGTGTGTTTATGGATCACTATTTTTAGGGCTACTGGTTTCATGGCTTCACTAGCTTTTGGTGTTTAAAAATCATAACTTTTTATTTGTCAAATAAAAATATCACCATTAAACAAAGACAATAATCAAAAGTTAAAATGATATAACCATGTACTGTATATCTCACAAACTGCCATATTTCCAGTTTAACCAAAATTTTCATTAATAAAATGTAATTTATACCAACAGTAACATTGTTCAAGAAATTAAGCTAACTTACAATAGAAAATGTACAAGTTAAGTAAAGGTTTGAACTGTGAATATTTTTGTTTCATTTAAACAAAGCTTTTAAAAATTTAACTATACATACAAACACACATTTTATCTGTATGACACTGTGCTATATTTTAACAATGGAAAACTTACAGGTTTATTTGGATATACTTGAGAAAGATGATCTTTCAAGTCCTTAACTGTCCAGTCAGGCTGACATTCTATCTTCTGATCAGGGACTGTTTGGTTAGGTGCACGAATGATTATATAAAGAGCCATGATCAAGCTAAAAACAAGCTCTTTCCTGTGTAGAAAAGTCTTTCCACTTTTGGGTCCTTTTCAAAATACAAATGTTTGTTTAAGCTGATTAAATGATATGCAAAACATTACATTTGTTTTAGACAATTTAACTGATTTAATAAAATGACAGGTTCTTTTCTCATATCTCTACTATTGGTTTCTTTTAGAGTTAATATGTTATATATATATATATATATATATATAAACTGAACTTTATTTACTTTTTAAAGTTAAACAATATTTTCAATTTTCAAGATTTAAATCTTCAGAGTACTTTTAAAAGCAATACACTTAATAAACTGTTATTTCCACAAACCCTCACCAGATCCGCTGTTAAAATAAATGAGCTAACAAAAATTCAGAATTATTCATAAGGTTTTAATTAGACCATCTAAAAATGATTATAATCTGAATGAGACTATGTTGTACTTTTAGCCTCATTGATAAATATGTGTACAGTTTTAGCATAGAAAATAACACAATGGAAAATATATACAGGGAGTGCTGTACTTTAAGTTCAATGATGCCTATAAAAAAAGAAAACATCAACTAAGCTACAAGAAGAGGTTTAAATATTTCTTTACCTCTAGAATGTTAGGAAAATCTACCAAAACATAGTTTGTTTGAACAGTGCCCATGGAAAGAATAAAATTGAAAATGCAAACAAATAAGAGGACACATTCTTTGCAAGAATTCTATTTCTATTTGTCCAGTTATAAAGTTGTAGTAATGAGTGGACCTAAATACTTGATAGTTCAGATAGTAGAGCATCAGTTTCAAAACACTACATACACCAGTAAGGACAGTTGCCTGATCATATTGTTACAAGATCATTTGCTTGAAAATATGGTTCATACTGTCAATTTAAATTTATTTCAAAATAGCTGAGGGGTATATAATATGTAAAGATAAGTTTGGTTTTGGATATGGTGCTTTTGCTACTTGCTATTTGGTTTGTGAAAAAATCACCGTAGTGATGTAAAATTTTATTATTTTTGTTATATTCCTAGAATATTTCATATATATACTTGTATTTATTAGTTTTTATTATTTATAATTTTAATTTCATGTTTATTATTATACTATGATTATTCTACATGGTAATTGTTTTATCATAATAATTATTAATTATTGTTAGCTTCCTATATGAATTTTGGACTAACCTAAGACTCCAGGGATGGCTAAATCTTACAAGATATTATTGAGTTTATAGCCATAAATATTGTTGACAGTAAGATAGTTTGAACAGTATACTTAACTATGTTCGTTACTGGGTATATTTTTAGGTTTCACCTATGTAAGTAGCTTGCTTTGATGAAATTCATTTATTGTAAATAACTTCCGAGTTTTATTAAATCAAAAATAATCTTTTAACCACTATCACATAAAATTAAATGTTTATATAAAACAAATTCAGAATTACTGAGTATCTAAAGTCATACATTAGATGAAAAAATATTCAAAAGATATTTAAGCACTATAATTGTAAAGTAACTAACACATTTGAAATGCCGATCATTCAAGCATGAGTTATAATTAACATATGAGGATTATGGTCAAAATATGTTTTATCACATAAATTGGTGTAACAAATTTTCACTCACAAAGTCAACCAGGAAAGGTGCTAACACAACAGAGAACAGTCTCTGACGACTTACAATTTCTTGAATAACTTACTAATTGGATCAATGTTTTCTTTTTCTTCTTCTTCTTCTATAGCTGCACTTTAAAAGAAGACCAATATTATGACTTCAGATGAGAAATCAAACTTGCATAACAATAACAAACTGTCAACAAATATACACTTTCTAACGTACTCACAAATTACTAAAAAAAATCACCAATTTAGTCAAATACTAGCCACTCTGTTTACTTGTAATATTTACTGTGTTCTATCCTACTATAATTCTAAATTAAACATATTATGTATTACGTCATCTATGTCGCTTTCACCATAGGTACGATATTTGTCGTTTCCTGATTGGTTAATATATATCCTGTTTGTCTCAAACGTGATTTTACCGAAAGGGGGCGATAAAATCATACGAATGTCATGTGATAAATTTTGATGTATGAAAATTTTCTGGAAAGTACCAGTTCAGCAAAAACTTGTGAACGATTACCGGTATTGAAATCCAAAGAATGTACTGTACTTCAGATTTTTGGCTTACTTCCTGTAATAAACATAAGTATTAATGTAGGAGTAATAGAAAAATATACGATAAATTAGTTTAGGCACAACGTCAACTAAGTGAAGTCTATGACGTATAAAATTAAAAACTAAAAGTTAGACAACTAGTGGTACTAGTACAAAAATATTTAAAACGCACTTAAGAGTTAAGTCAAATGTTACTTTACTTTGTTACTATTTAACCTAAACAGTTATTTCTTTTAAAAAAAAATATTTTCAAGAATTTGCCAACTTCTGTGTCAACATATTCAGAAGGCACAGACAGTCACTAGTACTAATAGTATTAACACTATTAGATAAATACTACTACTACTAGTAATACCACTTGCAAGTACTACTACTAATTTTACTTAGAGTTAAACGTGAGTGAGTTAAACTTAATGTATCATATTATTGTTAAAACATTAGCATTATTACTAATACTAAGTCACCTGTATTCAAAAGTAATTTGTTAAAGGTATTTATTCTTGCAAAAGTGACGAAATAGTATTCAGTTTTTATTATATTTTCGTAATAATAATATGATTTATGGCGGTTATGCTAAACTAAAGTTCTATGGTGGACATTGTAAAACTAAAAGTAAAACTGCAGTTGAGGGTTGTGCATTACACATTCTTACTTAAGAATTTGGTTCTAGCTTCTAGAAATTGAAATTCAGTTTGAAAGTTTTAATTTTTACATGAAAAGCTATATAATGAGATTAAAAATTGATATAATGGACAAGATAAACAAAGATTATCAATTTTAAATTGATTTTCCACACTTTTATTCATCAAAATTTGCACATTTTTGATTGATTCCAAAATGTTAAGTGTGCTGGTGATACTTTTTTTAAGGAAATTTATTATTTCTAGAGGACTTTAAGATTAATATATTTTTGCAGTGTTAGCTTTGAGTTTGATTTGTTTTCAGTTATGCACTTTAATGAAAACATCAATTAATTAAAAAGGTTAGATAAAACTGGTGATTGTAATGCATGTGCTAAATTTGACTAAGGACAGTAAGGTACAAAAGTGTCTTGTTAACAACATTTGTGAAGGAGAAAGCTAAAAAAGTTGACATGGAGAAGCGAGTCAATTCAGTATTATAATTATCTAATCTTTTGCTGTACTACCTAAAGGAAGCCAGTGGAACACAGGTTGAGAACCGATGACAACATAAAATTTAAGGACAACAAAGGACTTTAAAATAAATATGAGATATGGAGAGCCAGCCCTTATTATTTAGATATTTATCAAGCCTTCCCTTAATCTCTGTGAAATTTACTGCACCCACCATATCTGAAGGCAACCCATTTCAAATGCCAGTTAACTTGTAAGAATTATAAAACTGTCTTAGCTGAAGATGACTCCTACCCTGCAAAAATTTATATTTGTGTCTCCTACTTCTACCATTCTTGCCATTAAATATGGAAAAAGATAATGCATCAAAACTACCAATTAACTTAGAAATCTTAAACACTTCAATCAGATCCCCTCTGACTATCCTTTTTTTCAGGAGAAAACAATTTTAGAGATCTTGTCCTTGTGTGAAACCTTTCCTTCTAGTAGACTTTCTTTGGACACTCCAACAATTCCATGTCCTTCATAAGATAAAGAGCACATGACTGAACACAGTATTACAAATATGGTCTAACTAATCAATTATAAAATGAAATTATAGCCTGTTTAGACTTGTATGTAATATTTTTGTGCATATAACCTAAAATCCTATTTACCTTGCCACTAGCAAAAGCACAGTGCCTGGATGGCATACGAGAGTGATCAGTCAGAACACCAAGATCTTTTTCTTCTATAACACTGTTAGCATTATTTGCATTTATTTTAATCAAAACCCATCTGCCATTTATTTGCCCAACTTACTAAATGATGTAAATTCTTTTGTAAATCAGCAGCATCCTCTTCACAGCTAGCAACAACCAAGACCTTAATATCATCAGCAAACTTAAGTAATGTATTGACCATTCTTTCATCTATGTCATTGATGTAAATATGTAAATTAAAAAGAGCAAAGGTCCTAAGACTGAGCCTTAAGTACCTTGCTTGTTGCATATATCCATTTATAACAGCTTTCTTCTTCTTTTTTCCATCCAGCTACTCTTCTATCCAATTAGCTAACTCATCTCCCACATCTACAGAGATAATTTTTTTACAAGCCTTTTATGTGGCACCTTGTCAAATGCTTTCTGAAAATCTTCACTCCTACTATGTCTGCT